AACTAGTTGAATTAGATATATTTATATTATATTTTAATAATTAAATCAAACAAATATTAAAAAATATATTAAATTGAAAAGTGTATCAATTATTTTCTTTTACCTACCTGTTGCTTCCCCCAAACCAAAACTACCGTAAGTTCATTTTTCAATTTTAAAATGAGAAATTAATTAATACTTCAATAATGTAATTGTAAAAATTTGAACACTAAGACTGTTTAATTTGTATGATTAATTTGTATTATTATGATTGTTGGTTTTGATTTTTATAAATTTTATAACTTTAAACAAAAAAAAAAAACTCAATTATTTTTATGTGTTTTTGTAATATATTATCATATTTATTAGAGAAATAAGAATAAATATAATTTTATACTATTAATTAAATTTATATTTTTTGGTTATTAGCGTTAAAACTTGTTTTAAACGATTTGTAGTTTTGATTTTTAGTAGTTGCTAAATTTATAAAACCCAAAACAAAAAATAAAAAACCACATCCATACTAAATGTAATCTAAATCTCTTAAAAGGTTGGGGAAAACTCACTCAACTTATCTACATAGTCATTTTTATATTAGAATTTAATGTATTTTTAAGACATTAAAATCTACTCCTTATATCTTAAAATAACTGTTGTGACTTTATAGCATGATTAAAGTTAAAGAATAATTATAAAATTAAAGTATGAAAAAATTACGACAATACTAGTATTTTTCAAGCTTAAAATTTGATAAAATAATAATTAATTTGAGATAAATTTTAATTAAAAAAATAATTATTTTGGTAGAGGTAGTACTCTAAAAGAAATTATTAAACACTTTAAGAATCATAACGCGAAATCAATTTTGATAACAATACCGTATACGCATGCCTAGGTGATATATAAAATCTCTTCTCCGTAACGTAACACTTGTTGTTGATCTCTCTATCTGCAGGTCCTTGCTCAATACCCAGTCCTTGTTGACTGCCTCACCGGTCTTCACTCCCACTTTGCTGCTTTGTCACTTTCAGCCTCGCCCTTCATTCAGAATTGTGGTACATATCTTTATTTATATTTTTATTTATTTAAACAATGACGGGTATATTTTAATTTAATATATTATATACCATATTAATTAAAAAATTATTATTTTTTGATGTAAAATTAAAAGTAAACAAACTTTCAAATGTAATTAGATATATTTTGCACAATTGACATCTCTTAACTTTTTTGACATTTTTTTAGTGTTTTAACTATGAAAAATATATATTATTTTAATCTTTCTGTCAATTAATCTGTTAAATTTATTTGAATATGTATTTTTTTAGTTCTTTAATTTTTAATATATGCATATTTTTTGTTCAAAAGTTGAACAAAAAATATGCAGATTTAGATAGATTTAGCAGATTAACTGACGGAAGACTAAAAAAATGCTTTTTTCATAGTTAAAGGATCAAAAAGTGAAAAAAAAAAATTGAGGGATGAAAATTATGTAAAATTTTAAAATTGAGGGATCAAAATTAACATTTAACCAAATATATAACTTACTTAATATTAAATTATATTTTTTAAATCATAAAAAAATATTATAATTCTATCAATTTCTTTTAAAATACCCTAGACCTTACATATAATATAATATTATGCTTCTACTTCATAAATTTGATCGGAACATATAGCTCTTTCATTTAGGGCGCTTAAAAATTTGAAATAGTTGAAGAAAATATAGAAAGCCCTAGAAAAATTAAATCTGACCCGACATACCAGCCTGACGTTCCGGCTCTGGGTGGGCTTCCGAATCCATACTAGTCTCGACACAAAATCAAAATGACCCAATTCAGTGGACCCGCAAGTCAAATACATTGGGTAAGAGCAAAAAATTAATTAATTTTTGAAAATTTTAAATATTGATAATTTTTAATCTTAAATTTGAAATAAAAAATGAATTTGAAATATGAAGTTATTATTTATTAAATTGGTTTTTAACTTTTTTAATTAAAGATATAGGAATAATTCATGTATTTATTTATATTATTTTAAAAAATTAAAAGATAAAATAATTATTTTAAAACAGTGAGAATATAGAGTAATATGTTTTTTATAAGGGGTGTTCATATCCAATCCAATTTGATTGATTCGAGTTAAACTGATTCAATTTCAATTAAAACTGATCCAAATCGATATAAAATTGGGTTGGTTTGAATTTTAAAATTTTAAAACCGATATAATTAGTTTGGTTCGTGTTTTTATCTTCAAATCACTCGAACTATTCGATTATAAAATAAAATCCGATTAGAAAATAATTTAATTAAATAATATAACATATTTTTTGTAGTATTTTAATTTTTTTTTCTTATTTTACAA